CAGTAAATAATGATTCTTGTATTACAAAAAGAAAAAAAATTTACGATTATATTTTCCATGTGCAATTTAGTTTCTTTCTATTTCTTTTTTTTTTGAAACAGAAATGCGACAATTTAAAAAAGTATCGTTAAATTTTTAATTATTATTGCTTTCTCAGAATGCAAAAATAAAATTATTCTAAAAATTTGAGATATTATTAGGTATTCAAAACTCGAATAATTTTGTTAAATAAATATTTAAAATTTTTAATACTTCTTATTTGTTTTTATACAGAAAATAAAATTATTTAAATTTTAATTTAAAACCTTCTGAATACTTTCTAGTAATTACAACTATAGTCCTTCCAAAATTCAATTATTTTCTACAATTTTTAACAAAATTTCATCTCCAAATCAATTATTTTAAATGCAAAAATTCAATTTTCTATAATAATATTGTTTATTTTAAAGGTATAATATTTTCAAAAAATTGTAATAAAGAAATTCTTAAAATATTAATTTTTTCAAAATATTTTTAAATAATTTTTGAATGCTAATAGTGTTTTAATTAAATGTACAATTAAAAAATTTCCAAATAATTGAAATTTGATAAAATCTAATAATAATAATTGAAATTTAAAAAAATTTACTTAAATTCGTTGCAAAAATTCAATTATTTTCGGAAATAAAAAAAAATTTTTGCATGAATTCAATTATTTAAAAAATATTTACTAAAATTCGTTGCAAGAATTCAATTATTTTCATAAATAAAAAAAAGTTTTTATAGAAATTCAATTATTTGAAAAAATTTACTTAAATTCGTTGCAAAAAGTCAATTATTTTCGTAAATAAAAGAAGACTTTTGCATGAATTCAATTTTATTTAAAAAATATTTACTGAAATTCGTTGCAAGAATTCAATTATTTTTATCAATAAAAATTAGTAATTTAAAAATATTCTTACTGTAATATTTTGAAAATAATTGAATTTCTTAAAAGAATTTCTGTAAGTTATATAGAAAACTAATAAATTTTTTTGATGAATTTTAATTAAAAATTTTTGAACATAATTAATTGTGTTTTACAAAATGTTAAAAAAAATTTTAATGTTACTATTTTTTGTGTGTATTTGAATTTTTTTGAAATATGTAAGTAAAAATATTGAAATACTTAAAATTTTTCAAAATTATAATAGAAAAATTCTAAGAATTTTTTTTTCTAAAATATTTTAAATTTTAATATAATTTTTAGAAACAAATTTTCATTAAAATTTAAAAAAAGAATTTCTTTTTATTTATGAAAATAATTGAACAACGAATTTTAGTGGTTTTTTTTAAATAATTGAATTTCTCTGAAGAATTTTATTATATATGAAAATAATTGAATTCTTGCAACGAATTTCAGAAATTTTTTTTAAATAATTGAATTTCTGTGAAGAATTTTATTGTTTACGAAAATAATTGAATTCTTGCAACGAATTTCAGTAAATTTTTTTAAATAATTGAATTCCTTTGAAATTTTTTTTTTATTTGTAAAAATAATTTAATTCTTGCGAAGGATTTTATTAAAGATTTTGTAAATAATTGAATTTGTTTAAGAATTTAATGAAGATTTAAAATTCTTTTGAATGGAAAAATTCGAAGTTTCCTTTTTTTCTAAAATATTTTAATATAATTTTTAGAGGCGAATTGTCATTAATTTTATTTTGAAATTTTCACTCTTGAAGATTTTTCGTTAAAATTTTTGAGAATTCATTTAATTAGATATTTTCAAGATTTGCAATTAAAAATCTTCAAAAGTTGATTTTCAAAAATTGTAATAAAATACTTTTAAAAAATTGAGTTTTAAATAAATTAATTTAATTTTAATTAATTAATTTAGTTTTAATTAATTCATTTAATTATAATTAATATATTGTGTTGAAAAAAAATGAAGATACAAATTTGTTATCTTCTTTTTTATTATATTTTTGTAATTATTCGGAGTTATCTTCTTTTGTATACTTTTTTTTTTATCTCCCAAAGTGTAAACTTTTAGTTGTAAAGAAAACCTTCTGACTTTAATAAACAGTTTCTGTATAGACAGTGAGAGGATATAATTAATAAAAATTTTATCTTTCACATTCATTGCATGTATACGAATAATATATAAATGTATACGTAGAGTGAAAAAATTTCACAACATTGACACCTTCATTTACCTGAGGGCTCAAATGACGCACGAGACAAATTTAATAAATATATTTCTCTGTCTAACCTTTTTTAATTTTATTTATTAATATTTATAATCTACATATATATGTTGTATATTGTTTATTTAAAATAAAATTTTGTCACGTGTATGATAAATATTTTTTTTTTTTTTTTGCAAAAGAGGAATAAAAATTGGAAATTTAATTTATTATCAGACCCGTAGGTGTAAATAGTTTCATAACTGCGCTAATCGTTTATAGCATTATAAAAAGATTAATCTTCCATTTTTCTCTTTATTTTATATATGCAATCTTGGATTCTTAACAATATATATATATAGTAATAATAATTAATAATATGATGGATTTGAAAATAGTGGAGAAAATTATAAAGTACATATTACGAGATATATGCACAAATTTTTCGTATTTTATATTGTTAATTAATTATTAGACTCTGATTTTATCAAATTTAATTAGATATTAATTTTTCAATAAAAATTCCATTGAAAAATAAATTTATTGGTGAACTTTTGATTAATTTATTTCAAAAATTACAGCAAATTTTTATTTAACAATAAAATTTTTTGCAAAAATTAAATTACTATTCAAAATTTTAATGAAATTCAATTATTTTCAATAGATTTTTAATTAAATTCATCAAAAGAATTCAATTATTTTCAAAAATAAAAAAAAAATTCTTTACAAGCATTCAATTAAAAATTAAACTTCGCTTGAAAGAATTCAATTATTTTTATTTCAATTTTAATAAAGTTTCTCGATATAATTCAATTATTTGCATAAATAATAAAATATTGTGCAGAAATTCAATTATTTTCGTTTCAATTTTAATAAAAGTTTTCGAAAGCATTCAATTAATTTCTAAAAATTTTCGTAAAATTTTCCACAGATATTCAATTATTTTCAAAACCTCCAATTTTTATTAAATTTCACGAAAGAATTAATTTTTTTCAAAAATTTTAATATAATTCTGAGAGTTAATTGAAATATTTTCATAAAAAGTAAAATTTTTGCAAGGAACTCAATTATTTTTAATAGAATTTTAATAAAATTTCTGAAAAGATTGCAAATTATTTGAAAAATGTTAAGAAAATTCTTCCAAAGGAATTCAATTATTTTTATTTGCAGAAGATCAATTATTTTCAAAGAATTTTATTAAAATACTAAGTATTCAATTATTTTTAATACAATTTTAATATTAAATTCCAAACAATTCAATTATTTTCAAATATTGAAAAGAAAATTTTTGTAAGAATTCAATTATTTTTAATAATAAAATAAAATAATAAAATTTTTCGTAGAAATTAAATTATTTTGAAATACGATGTTAAAATTTCTCGAAAGATTTCAATTATTTTTTAAAAATGTAAAGAAAATTCTTCTACAGGAATTCAATTATTTTAAAAAATTTTAATTGAAATTTGTCCACAGGAATTCAATTAAAAAATTTTGATAAAATAAGTTTTAAGAATTCAATTATTTTCAATATAATTTTAATGAAATTCTTAGCAAGAATTCAATTATTTTCAAAAATGTTAACTTTAACATTCTTAGCAGAAATTCAATTATTTTCTAGAATTTTGATAAAATACTAAGTATTATAAAATAATAATAATATTCGATAGAATTTCAATTATTTTTATGAAATTATAATAAAATTCAGAAGAATCCAATTATTTTTATAGAATATTAATAAAATTCGAAACAATTCAATTATTTTCAAAACTTTTGAAATTCGAATGAATTACATAATTATTTTTGTTTAATTAATAAAATTCGAAGATTAATTTAATTATTTTTATAATATAATAATAATATTTAAAATAATTTCAATTATTTTGATAAAATAATAATAATAATATTCGAAAGAATTTCAATTATTTTTTTTAAATAATAATAAAATTCGATAGAATTCGAATTATTTTCAATACTTTTGAAATTCGAATGAATTACATAATTTTTTTTTAAATAATGAAATTCGAAAGAATTTCAATTATTTTTTATAATAATAACAATTGAATTCAATTATTTTGAAAAATAAAAAAAATCTTTACAAGAATTCAATTAAAAATTAAACTTCTCGAAAGAACTCATTCATTTGAAAGAATTTCAATTATTTTGATGAAATAATAATAAAATTCGAAGATTAATTCAATTATTTTTACAATATAATAATTATATTCGCAAGAATTTCAATTATTTTGATAAAATAATAATAAAATTCGAAAGAATTTCAATTATTTTTTAAAAATAATAATTTATAATAATAACAATTGAATTCATTTATTTTAAAAAAGAAAAAAATTTTGTACAACAATTCAATTAAAAATTGATCTTCTCGAAAGAATTTCAATTATTTTTATAATATGATAATAATATTCGAAAGAATTTTAATTATTTTTTATAATAAATAATAATAAAATTCGAAAGAATTTTAATTATTTTTATAAAATAATAATAATAAAATTCGAAAGAATTCAATTATTTAAGAAAATGTTATTCTATAAATATTTTAGAAAAGAAGAAGAATTTTTTTAAACCACTATTAGAACAAAAGAATTGGAAACTGAAAAAATAATGGTTTTCTGAATGATAAATAAAAATTCCAAAACATTCTTATCAAAAGTGGAGGAATTATAAATAAAAGAATGGATGAAAAATGAGATTCCTCCTTGGCAAGATTTATGACTTGTTCAATTCTATCTAAGAAAATCTGTTTAGTTTTCCATTCAATATGAAAAAGAAGGGGAATTCTAGTCGATGGTTATATAGTAGATCACGCTCTCAACCTTTTCAGTATTGTCTCTAAAGTCAGGATTTCTCCATTTTCGGAATTAGCCTGACATTAATTGTTATCAATTTATCATTCGCCGATTGTCTATTAAGAGATAAGTCACGCGAGACAAAAAGTCGATTTTCGATAATCTCAATTATTTTTATTTTTTTTTTGCTCTTTTGCTTTTTAAACGAAAAAAAAACAGATTTTCAAAACGACTTGTGTTTCGGTGTTTCTTTTGAACAATCGCGTGGAAAAAAAGTGTTCATTTCAAAGTTTTTATTTATTTTTTTTTATATATTTTCAAATGGAACTGGAAATGAAAATAATTTTTTCTTTCAATTAAAAATTACAAACGAGAAAAAGTGTTTTTTTTTTAAAAAGAAAAATCAAAAATAATCTTCATTAAGAGAAGCATTTTTGTAATTAAAAAACAAATCTCATAAACATTCGAATTTCATGGAAATTAGAAGAAGAAACCAGGAAAATTTCCCTGAGCGGATTAAGAAAAGTTTAATATTAAAGTCGAGTGCGCGAATCTTGAAATTAATTTTTTTTCCCCTTTGATGACGAGCAGAAAATATAAATATTAAAAAATGAAATTAAAAATTTAAAATAATTATTAAATTAATTAAATAATTTATTTCGTAACTTTTTCTAATAATGTATAAATATACATTTAACAAATGTGGTTTGTATAGTCAATCGTGTGTGAATTAAAAAAAAAAAAATAAATAAATAAAAATATTTTTCAATTAAATATTTTTGTGTGATAAAAGTGAGAAAATGCCACCTCAAGAAAGTTTTGGTGTACCGGATACGGAGCGTGTGTCAAAAACGGAAATATGTGATAATTTTAATGCGAATTCATGTCGAATATCGACAATTAGTCAAAATCGGGATTCAAATGAAAAAAATGAAAAAACAAGTGTTGCAAATAATAAGAAACGAAGGGACATGGATTTCGATGAATTATTACCATACGTTGGTGAATTTGGATTTTATCAAAAAATTCTCTTTCTTCTCATGATACCGTTCACATTTTTTGTCGCTTGGGTTTATTTTTCACAAATTTTCATTACTTTGGTACCGGAGGAGCATTGGTGTAAAATTCCCGAACTCGAGAATCTCACAATGGAAGAAAGGTATTTATAGAAAAATTTATTTGGGGACGAAAAAAATAATTTTTGTTTATTTTCAAAGAAAAATTAATATTTTAAAAGAAAAATTAATATTTTAAACGGAAAATTAATATTTTTAAAGAGAAAGTTAATATTTTAATTAAGGAAAATTGTTCTTTAAAAAGAAAATTAATATTTTAAAAGGAATATTTTTCTTTAAAAAAGAAAAGTAATGTTTTAAAAGAAAAATTAATATTTTAAAAGGAAAATTGTTCTTTAAAAAAGAAAATTGATATTTTAAAAGGAAAATTGTTCTTTAAAAAAGAAATGTAATATTTTAAAAGGAAAATTGTTCTTTGAAAAAGAAAATTAATATTTTAAAAGGAGAATTAAAATTTTAAAAGAAAAATTATTATTTAAAAAGAAAAATTAACATTTTAAAAGGAAAATTAATATTTAAAATAGAAAATTATCCATTGTTGTTTTCTATAAACTAGATGGAAACAAGGAAATATTAAAACTTGGATAAATATAATATTTATATATTTAAAAGTTTTTTTTCCATTCTATCGTTTTGTGTGCCAAGGAAAAATTCATTCCAATTTACGCACGTGCTTTTGTTATTATTGAACATTGAAAGTATCTGAATTCAGAACTTGATTGAAAAGAAATCTTTTCTTTCTTTTTTAACTAAATTTATTATTTTCTAATAAATTCAGGTCTCTCGGTTGGTATTATTTTTTGTTCTTTTTTCGACTATTATATCGGAAAAGGTGAAATTCAAAATGATTTTATTATTTAAACTATTAAATATAATAAATATTAAAAATATAAAAATATAAAATATAAAAATATAAAATATAAAAATATAAAATATAAAAATAATAAATAAATATAATATATATAAAAAATGGTGACTTTTTTTTATCTAAATGTTGCAAAAAATTTTAATAAATACTAAAAATATTTCATTTTTCTAAAGAAATTTAATTATTTTCAGAACTTTTTGAGAAAATTGTTTATAAAAATTCAATTATATTGAATACAATTTTAATTAAATTCCTTGAAAGAATTGAAGAAATTCAAAGAATTTTAAGAAAATTCTTCGCAAGAATTCAATTTTTTTCGCAATTTTAATAAGATTTCACGAAATAATTCAATTATTTTCACAAATTTTTTTGAAATTCAATTATTTTCAATATCTAATATTTAAAACAAAATTTCTCTAAAGAATTCAATTATTTATAAAAAAAAATTTTAATAAAATTCTTCGCAGTATTGCAATTATTTTCAAAAATTTTGATAAAAATCTTTTAGAGAAATAAATTATATTCAAAATCTACAATTTTTTATTTTTTACGAAAGAATTTAATTTTTTTAAAAATTTTTAGTATACAATTCTTCGGAATAATTGAATTATTTTCAATTAAAAATAAATTTCATCGCAAGGAATTGAATTATTTTCAATACAATTTTAATAAAATTTATCGAAATAATTCAATTATTTGCATAAATAATAAAATACTTTGCAGGAATTCAATTATTTTAAATTCAATTTTTACAAAGTTTAAAAAAAAAAAAATTCAAAAATTTAATAAAATTGTTCGCAGAAATTCAATTATTTTTTGAAAAATTTTGATATAATTTTTTGAGATAATTAAAAATTTGTTTTAATTCTTTCTTAATTAAATATCTCGAAAGAATTTTATTATTTTCAAAAAAAAAAGAAAAATTCTTTACAAGAATTCAATTAAAAATTGAATTTCTCGAAAGAATTCAATTATTTTCAAAAACTTTAATAAAATTCTTGGTAATATTTCAATTTTCAAAAATTTAGACAAAATTCTTTATAGGAATAAATAAATACTTTATAAGAATTCAATTATTTTCAATACAATTTTAATTACATTCCAAATTATTAAATTTAAAAGGAATTTAATTATTTTTGAATACGATTTTAATCAAATTTATCAAAAGATTTCAAGTATTTTGAAAAATGTTAAGAAAATTCCTCCAAACGAATTCAATTATTATCAAGAATTTTGATAAAATACGAAGAATTCAATATTATTTCCAATACAATTTTAATTAAATTCCAACCAATTCAATTATTTTTAAAAATTAAAATCTTTGCAAGAATTCAATTATTTTCATTCATAAAAATAGAATTTTCCGTAGGAATTAAATGATTTTGAAATAAGATGTTAATTAAATTTTTCAAAAGATTGCAATTATTTTTGAAAATATTAAGAAAATTCTTCTAAAGGAATTCAATTATTTTCAAGAATTTTGATAAAATACTAAGTAATTCAATAAATATTTTCAATACAATTCTAATTAAATTCCAAACAATTCAATTATTTTTAAAAATTGAAAAGAAAATCTTTGAAAGAATTCAATTATTTTTATGAATAATAAAATTTTTCACAGGAAAATACGATGAAATACGATGTTAATAAAATTTCTTAAAAGATTGCAATTATTTTTGTAAAATGTTAGTAATATTCTTCACAATATGAATTCAATTATTTTCAATAAATTAATTAAGGAAGATTTCGACTATATCAGCAATTAGTGACATCTATTAGACGTCAATTGAACTCTTTGGTTTAGAGTCAGGTGTTATTCTTAAGATAATTACTCCGATATGGTTGTCGGTAAATAATTATATTTTTGAATTTAATTTTTGATCTGAAAAAATAAGCTGCGTGAACGACTGCACTGTGCATCTGTGAGGACTCGAACCCCAGTTAATAGCTGCCTTTCGCGGGACTAACGCCTACCAATGCACCATGCCAACACAGCCTGGACGTTCACGTTTCTTATAATCTCAGATCAAGCCCATACACTAGTCGAAGAGCTGTATAGTTAATGTAGGAAATTATTTGCTGATTGAGAATTTTAATTAAGGAAGATTTCGACTATATCAGCAATTAGTGACATCTATTAGACGTCAATTGAACTCTTTGGTTTAGAGTCAGGTGTTATTCTTAAGATAATTACTCCGATATGGTTGTCGGTAAATAATTATATTTTTGAATTTAATTTTTGATCTGAAAAAATAAGCTGCGTGAACGACTGCACTGTGCATCTGTGAGGACTCGAACCCCAGTTAATAGCTGCCTTTCGCGGGACTAACGCCTACCAATGCACCATGCCAACACAGCCTGGACGTTCACGTTTCTTATAATCTCAGATCAAGCCCATACACTAGTCGAAGAGCTGTATAGTTAATGTAGGAAATTATTTGCTGATTGAGAATTTTAATTAAGGAAGATTTCGACTATATCAGCAATTAGTGACATCTATTAGACGTCAATTGAACTCTTTGGTTTAGAGTCAGGTGTTATTCTTAAGATAATTACTCCGATATGGTTGTCGGTAAATAATTATATTTTTGAATTTAATTTTTGATCTGAAAAAATAAGCTGCGTGAACGACTGCACTGTGCATCTGTGAGGACTCGAACCCCAGTTAATAGCTGCCTTTCGCGGGACTAACGCCTACCAATGCACCATGCCAACACAGCCTGGACGTTCACGTTTCTTATAATCTCAGATCAAGCCCATACACTAGTCGAAGAGCTGTATAGTTAATGTAGGAAATTATTTGCTGATTGAGAATTTTAATTAAGGAAGATTTCGACTATATCAGCAATTAGTGACATCTATTAGACGTCAATTGAACTCTTTGGTTTAGAGTCAGGTGTTATTCTTAAGATAATTACTCCGATATGGTTGTCGGTAAATAATTATATTTTTGAATTTAATTTTTGATCTGAAAAAATAAGCTGCGTGAACGACTGCACTGTGCATCTGTGAGGACTCGAACCCCAGTTAATAGCTGCCTTTCGCGGGACTAACGCCTACCAATGCACCATGCCAACACAGCCTGGACGTTCACGTTTCTTATAATCTCAGATCAAGCCCATACACTAGTCGAAGAGCTGTATAGTTAATGTAGGAAATTATTTGCTGATTGAGAATTTTAATTAAGGAAGATTTCGACTATATCAGCAATTAGTGACATCTATTAGACGTCAATTGAACTCTTTGGTTTAGAGTCAGGTGTTATTCTTAAGATAATTACTCCGATATGGTTGTCGGTAAATGTGTATGGGCTTGATCTGAGATTATAAGAAACGTGAACGTCCAGGCTGTGTTGGCATGGTGCATTGGTAGGCGTTAGTCCCGCGAAAGGCAGCTATTAACTGGGGTTCGAGTCCTCACAGATGCACAGTGCAGTCGTTCACGCAGCTTATTTTTTCAGATCAAAAATTAAATTCAAAAATATAATTATTTACCGACAACCATATCGGAGTAATTATCTTAAGAATAACACCTGACTCTAAACCAAAGAGTTCAATTGACGTCTAATAGATGTCACTAATTGCTGATATAGTCGAAATCTTCCTTAATTAAAATTCTCAATCAGCAAATAATTTCCTACATTAACTATACAGCTCTTCGACTAGTGTATGGGCTTGATCTGAGATTATAAGAAACGTGAACGTCCAGGCTGTGTTGGCATGGTGCATTGGTAGGCGTTAGTCCCGCGAAAGGCAGCTATTAACTGGGGTTCGAGTCCTCACAGATGCACAGTGCAGTCGTTCACGCAGCTTATTTTTTCAGATCAAAAATTAAATTCAAAAATATAATTATTTACCGACAACCATATCGGAGTAATTATCTTAAGAATAACACCTGACTCTAAACCAAAGAGTTCAATTGACGTCTAATAGATGTCACTAATTGCTGATATAGTCGAAATCTTCCTTAATTAAAATTCTCAATCAGCAAATAATTTCCTACATTTCAATAAATTAAAATTCCTAAAATTCCTTTACAAGAATTCAATTATTTTCATTTGCAATTAAAATTGTTTTCAAAAGTATAAATTAAATTTTAATTATTTGGTAATTTTTCAAGTACATATAAATTAAAAAAATCTATTATTATTCAGAAACTATTTAAAAAATTTTGTAATTGATTTAGAAAAGAAGTTTACTGAAAATTTTTGAAACT